TCTAGTCTAAAGTAACTTAAAAAGATCTGTACTTTTGATTTTAGTTACTTTTATAATAATAAATAAAGAATAAATATGAAAAACAAGAAATAAAGTACTTACCCAATCTTCTTTTATCTTGCCCTCGATTGTTGAGGAGAGTTAAGCCTGATATTTTTTTTTTTTTAGTGATTATAGTAAAGCACTTAACAGTTTTTATTTAATTGAATAATACACCAAAGAATATAGACTAATAACATGCAAAATGTAGACAAATTCACTTACTTTGTAACTATGTGACAAGAGCCGTTACAAATTCATCCAAGCTAGTTGTTAACTTTCCCACGGGAACAATGTTGCTACTCCGAGTGAAATTGACAGTTATCTATTCAGAACACAATGTTATACAATATGCCATTTGATAGATGAAAACCTTGACTTTCTATTGCTTATAGGTAATATATAATGAAATGTAAGAGAGAACTATCATCGAATTGTGAAAGGGAGGATGTGGCAGGAGGGGTCTGATTTTCTATTTGATAGCTCTGTAACAAAACAAAATTGAAGGCTATAAAAATTATGGTATGTTTGAGCAATAACGATTTTATAGAGTATTTTACATTTAATTTCATACATTTTCGAGGGTTGATGAATAAAATAGGGATGGTGACATGCTAAGACAAAATGTCTCACGTTGATTGGTGGCAATGGTTCTCCCTCTTGCCCTCCACCTCAGCAGGTTTCCACTGCCTGAGGCTGATGTTGCACATGGGGTGCCAGTCTGATTGAGTTTGATGTGACCTGCCACATTGGTACATCTCTTCTTACCATTATTTGGATGTTGGGTTCCCAGATGTATGGTTGGTTGTGGAATTGTGCACATATGCCTATTTTGTAGATCAGTTTGCACAGTATACACATCTGTTCTACTTACTTTGAGGTGAAGATGGTGTGAATCCTCCTCATCCCACTACGGGTCAGAGTTTCTGTTCCCAATACTGCATGGTTTTGGACCATCCATTTTAGCTTTCCTCACAATCTTTCTTCTACTGTAGTTAGGATTCCAACCCACCTGTTTTCTCCTCCTTTTTCGTGGTGCTCCTCCCACTTTCGACCATATATATATATATATGACACCTCTTTCCACAGAGTATACCTGGTACAGAAGTGGTGTGGTCTCCCACATGTGTTCCTCTCCCAACGGGGTCACACTTCAGGGATGTTCTTCGGACTCTTGTGAAAGATACTTCTTTCTATCCCTCACATTGGTTTCATCCGCCTATTCAACATTGGATTTTAGCTATCTGTGTGAGAGGAGATAATGTACCTTATCAGAAGTTATTATTTTCCTTTACTGAAAATATATTTTTGCTAGGTACCTCCTCTCACACTTCCCACCCTTCCTCCCCACTGAAAACTGATGCTTGCTTTTCTGCCTAATTTCAAAGTGATGGTTTGATAGAATTAAATAGAGGGTGTTCCATGCATCAGGAGGGTGTATCACACTCCTATTGGTGGAGGGTTGTTTGTGGGGTACGCGGGAGTTCAAGGGTTGTGGTACATGAACAATTTTTGCATATAAAGGGCAGTACTGAATGAGAATAGCTATCCATATGAGAAAAGGTAAGTACCTATAAGAAATATATTTTCAGTATAGGAAAATAATAACTTTAGTAGGACATATTTAGTATTTTGCATGTATAAATAAAAAAATATGGGAAGTTTTTAATTTTTTCTTCATTTTAATATAAAAGGAAATTTCATTTGTTGCTTAGTTAATTTTCTCTTATCTACAGCAGTTTTAAACATTACTTTTCCTTCAAAATTAGCCATTTTAAAAAGTACACTGAACATTAAACTATTAGATCATATTACTTTGTATTCAACACATTTCAAAAATATACATATAAAATTGTAAAAAGTAAACAGTGTTTTATGATCATTTTTTGAACAGACAAAAAATTGGTAAAACAATACAAAAACAAATACTTAATGTAGTTTTTCAGTGTGAAGTACTCAAAATAAATACATTTTATACTTGCTGGTCAAATAGAAAGATATTAGAAACACTTACAACAATTAGTATATGGTGGGTCATAGCAAATCACCTGATAAAGAAAAATAAACTACAAACAACGTAACTTCCTTTATTAATAAGCTATGTGAAAAACTGTCGAAGTACAACTGATTTATTGTTTTTAGTACCTTTCTTAGAAAGAAGTGCAAACCAACTCCTCTTTTATTCTTTGTTAAAACTAATAATGCAAAAAGAACAGTTAAATGCTTAATGTTAAAATAGTATTCTTCAAAATATCATCTTCTCCAGTTCAAATATTCCTATAGTCTAAAACAAAATTGCATCTCAAGATCTCCATTTTGCAGTATAATTCAAGAAACTGGTAGCTTTTTTTTATTGTTTGCTTAGCATAAACTAATGTATACTGGTAACAATTCAATGAAAATATTTGAACTTATAAACATTATGTACTTATAGATCGTGTAAAATTTAAAACTAGTAAATATTTACAGGGTCTTGTAAGTGCTGCTGCAATTATTCAAAAGGGAGCAGAACGCTTACGAATATCTCAGGCAGAAGGAAAGAATCGCTCACTTTCAGACTTTCATCTTGAATTGTTGAACATGCGTCAGAAGTGGAGACTAAGAAAACAAGGAAGTCTAATTTTAGGGGATCTAAGTTATCGTAGTGGTAAGGTTTTACCTATCTTAACAGTTATGATTGTAATTTGATGAGTATTTATTGATAACATTTGGGTTTACTTACAACACCTTAATTGTTTCTAAGTTATGTGTCCTGCTTAAACTAAAGATTCCAGTTTTGTTTTTCTCATTGTTTTTACTTTTAATTATTTAATTCTTAGTACTCTCAGTATAATAGCATTTAATAGTGTTTATGTAGTAATGAATAGATGAGAAATTAGTATAGAAAGTAACTTCAGAAACATTACTTATGTATCTCCACTACTAAGAACTATTACCTTATGCTCAACTGCTGTGGAATTTCCTGCACATGATAGGCCTTGAACAAACTTCCACCCCTACATGTGTTTTTTTTTTTTGCAACCTTCATAATACTGTAGCTCTCCACCAATAGGAGAGCAACACAACCTCCATGCATAATAATGTGGGATCTTAGCTATACATGTGAGAAGTGATGAGGTACCACATCAGTAGTTATTATTTTCCTATACTGAAAATATATTTCTGATAGGTACTTATCTCCTCTCACACTTCCCATCCTTTCTCCATACTAAATACCAGTGCTTCCTTTCTGCTTAATCTTGAAATGATAGTTTGGTAGAATTGAATAGAGGGAGTTGCATGCACCAGGAGAGTGTGTCACATTCTTGTTTTTGGAGGGTTGTCACATGATGATTTACATATGAGATGCAGTGAACCATGTCGATCGTGGGGTATGTGGGAGTTTAAGGCTTGTGGTATGCAAAAATTTTTGCATATAGAGGACAGCTATACATGTGAGAACATGTAAATACCTATCAGAAATTGCATAGCATTAAATTTGTATTGAATTTTTATTGTTGTTGTTTATAAAACTTCCAGCAAACAAGAGTTGGTTCAAGAGAAAACGACTTTTTTGCTAAGTACACATAAATCTTTTTGTTTTTCGTAATTTCCTGAAAATGTTGAAAACAAAAGAAGTAAACACCAAGCAGTGAATTATGAAGCAGTTTTGTACACATTTTAAAATACAACTTGTAAATTGCCAAATACAAATGCATCATTTTAATTAAATGCTAAAATTTACCATAAAGCTGTTATGGATTTATATAAATTGATAGTGAAACAAAGCCATTTTGACCTATAAGTTAGCAGAGAAGAAATTTTGAAATAAATGAACTTCATCTGTATTATTTGTTTTAGTTGGGTCACGATTCTGGCAAAATGGAACATATGAAGTGACAAAAAGTGAACAGCCTAATACAACTGTTACTTCACTCTCCCCTGGTGGACCTCAAGTTCCACGGCCCAGTGCATTGAAAGTTACTCTACCCAGTGAACTGGAAGGAAACAGTTATATTCATGTTGTAATTCAAAAAGGTATTTTTAATGCCATAAAATCTTCTATGTATTACAATACTTATGCCTTGTTTATAGCTACTCATTAATTATTTTGTTTATTTATTTTTTCTAAATAGATGTATTATTCTATAGATGAACTTTTAAGTTGTTGTGTAAGTTCTTTTCACTATACAAGGTCATCTGTGTAAGTTTTTAATGGAATGAAAAATTACTAGAAGATAGTTTTGGTTATTCTTATAAGACTGTCTGATAAAGGCAAAGCCAGTTAAATAATAAAAAAATATATAAAAGATAAGAAAGTAGTGGAATTTTAATAAAGTACATCAGATAAGTTGAGCTTATGTCATTCTGACACTTTCTTTATTTTCAGATACAGAAACAATAGCTGCTGGAGACTTTACATCTCCTTTTATTTCACCTATTCACTCTGATTCCCATTGGATGAACAAGTTGGAGGGTGCACAAAATGTACTCTTTTGTAAAGAACTTTTTTCTCAGGTAAAGATATAAATACTGTACATTTTTAAAACTATATAAATTTACATTTGTAATTGTATGATAATGGTACTAGATTCATAAGCTTTGCTTTCATTTGTTCTCATATCATTATGACTATTTGAGCTTGTGTGATTATCATTCTTATGTTTACAGATTTTACATTTGGTACTAAAGTCATCACACTTGGAAACAGAATTTAGAATTCGTCATTTTTTGTTAGTGAAAGATTTGGTATTGAACAAATGTACAATTAAAAGGCACCCTTTAGCATAAACTTGAAAATCTCAAGTTGTTTAGTGACATACCTCAGAATACGTGCATAGGCTTAGAACTTAAGATAAAAGATACAAAAATATAGATATATAGTGAGAGTATCTTTGACTCTTAAAGTTTTATAATTATTTGAAAAACAGACAAAGTACTTAAATGATTTAAAGCTGTAGGTCTGAATAATATTTATTTCTTTTAAACATAATTTTGATGAAGTGATTGTGGTGGAATTGTGTGTATGTTCAAAACATATATAAAATAAAGATAGTTAACTAAACAAATTCTATACAAGCCTCCCATTTTATTCATGATTGGTGAAGTCTTTTGACTCGTTGGTACCAAAATATTAAGGGTGATTAGGTATTATACTAAGTACATAAAGTAATATTTATTCAAAGAATTTTAAATTTTGTGAAAAATAAATTGAATGTTGTGTATCTCTGACATTTCAGTAATAAATGTTAAGGTACATTGTAAGTTCGGCAGTCGTAAAGATCCAGTGAACCACAAAACTGTTAAGTATTCAGTTTATCTTTTAGTTAATATAAATGTTAAATACTTAGCATTTCTGTATAATTTAGATAAAAACAAAGCATACAGCTTTTAAATAAATATGTTAAAATGTTCCTCAGGAGACGAGGGGTGTCTTTACACTACAATTTGTTGAACATTTAAAGTAAATTGAATTCAGAAACTCCCAAAGGGAGACAAGTTTTCGTTTGTTAATTGATAAAGTTTTAAGTGAAATACAGCATCCTCAAGTTTCCATACTAGCTAGTACAAAGGTCTACCTGCTGGGAGTAAATTCAGTATATATATCAATAAAGCCACATTCTCAGTATCATTAATTAAGCAGTTGCCAACCTTTTATGCTTCAATGCATCTTGTGCTTGGCTGTTAAGCTCGTGATGCACTGACGGATTTCCGTCTCTGATGGTAGATCAAGCCTATGAGAGTATTTGCTCTGTAGAAGTTTTAGCATTTGACAGGGCCTAGTGTGTTTTGTTTGTCTCTGACACCTATCAAGAATATCTCATCAATATCGCCTTTGAATTGCTCGATGTACTTATTCCCATAAATCTTGCCATACTGTTGTCTTTTCTCCCAGCCTGAGCTAAACACTTCAATGCATTCATCAATATCATCTTATACCATGTATTCAGTTATGGTTTTTGCAATAGAATTTTGTGATTCAGCATCTTTGTATCAACGAAATACACCCTGCCTGACTCGATTAAAGAAACGCCATGCCTCATGCCATACGGTATGAGATTATTGCTATTTCTCGACCTGTTGCACTTATGATGATCTTTGGTCTTCGCTCGCTAACAAGAATCTCCTTTGACAAATTTGACAAACTGTATCACCCTCTTCCTGTGGTTCTGAATCGTATCAATTGTTTAGGTTCATCTTCCCAGAGATGAAAG